TTCTCCATGTAATCCTACCAGTGTCCATGGTTGCTAAAATAATCATTTCCACCAATTGGGAACACATCATTGGGAAAATCCATAGCAACAAACTCAGGTAGGCAGTCGGACCAATTTACGAATTTTGAGCTTATTATCAACCAATAATAGCCTCCAACAACAAAATGAGTTAATCCTCACATTTTCTTAACAAGGAGGTTTAAACCATCCAAGATCGAATTAGCATCATGCTTACAGACCCTGATGAATCGAAAATACGGTTATTACTCAATCTATCATTGTTAGTATTCGTTGCATTTAGAAAACCACTTGTGCACAAATTACTCAAAACACAGATTCATCCCACCCATTATTCCACTAACAATGCTGTTGCTCCTCAATGTAACAACAATGGACACAATTTATCACAGTGAGTCATGGATACACACACCAGATCATATTTCGACATAATGAAAAGCAAAAAGCAAAAAGCAAAATTATATAAGAAAGTTACCCAGTTCTTAAATAACTGTGAATTTTAGTTAGCCACCCTAAAAATTTGTACTTGATACCTGAGGAGACACTAGAACCACTTGAAGAATCTTGTTTTGTGAGACTTCCTTCACTGCCTCCCCTACCCCATGTGCCAGAGAACACTCTTTGCCCCCATCAGCTGCACCATAATATAACACATACCCATTAAATCACTAACAATAAACACACATATTATATATGTGTGTGTATATATATATATATAGAGAGAGAGAGAGAGAGTACAGAGAGAGCAGAGGGCAGAGAAACGAGTGGAGTGCAGAGAGAGGCGAAGTTTGCGGTTGAGATGAGCCAAGTATAGAGAACCAAAGAGAGGAGCTTTCATTGAGCGCATTCGGAAAGGAGAGAAAGGGGTTAGGATTCTCAAGCCGCTTGTGTCCATTGGCTTATTATGTCTATCGGCGGCTATGGCCTTCCCACTTTCTTTGCTTCTTTATCTTACCTTCGCTCCACAGTCGACACAGAGTTTAAACTCTTTTTTTATTTTTTTATTTTTATTTTGGTTCGAAACACATCGAAAAAGAAAAAGAAAAAAAACTGAATTATAAGTTAATGGGACAATTATTCTGAAAGAAAAATTAAGAGAAAAATTGAAAATTAGCTCCAAATTCAGGGGCGATTTCGAGAGTTATTTTGGTTGTCAGAGTTAGGAAGGGTGAGATTTCGACAGTTCACTCTTTATTTTAAGGGTTGGAATGGAAGAAAAAGGAGAAAGGATAGGGGCTGCGATAAGTATATTTAAGTCCATTTTAACATGACATATTATATAAAATGTTGTAAAATTAGGGAATTTGTAAGGAGAAATAAGATGAAGAAAGTGACAGTATAATTTTCTCAAATCAACTTGTATTTTATTTATATTTGGTGTCACTATTTATAGGAGTAGAGAGACCTAAATCATTTACCACCCATAATTGGTATGTTACAAATATATAATGATGGATATTATGATAGGTTAATAGTGGCTATTATTGTGGGCATCCATAACCTATAAACCCATAACATATGGATTTATAACACTCCCCCTTGGGTGTCCACCATACAATGACATTATGTTGGACGTGCTAAATGTTGCCTCGTTAGAAAACCTTGTCAGGAAAAACCACACGGGATAAAAACCTGATCGAAGGAAAAAAGAGTACATTGCACATACATCCAATGTAGTAAAACTAAGGAGTTTCCGCGATTGATATCTCCTCCTGATCTTCAACAATCTGATTGCTTGTAAAGTCGTCGCATTCCTATACCATATACCAACTTTTGAAATATAGACTTCGGAAGAACTTTGGTGAAGAGGTTTGCCAAGTTATCTTGGGAACGAATTTGTTTGACTTCAATCTCTTGATTCTTCTGAAGCTCATGTGGGTAGAAGCACTTTGGTGGTATATGTTTGGTTCTATCACCCTTAATAAACCATTCTTTAATTTGAGCTATACAAGCAGCATTGTCTTCATACATGATTGTCGGAGCTTTTGTTGTTGAAGAAAGATCACATGTTTTCCGAATATGATGAACTCGGGATCTTAACCAAACACATTCTCTACTGGCCTCATAGAGCGCAAGAATTTCTGCATGATTAGAAGAGGTAGCAACCAAAGTTTGTTTTGTAGATCGCCATGAGATTGCTGTATTTCCATAAGTAAACACATAACTAGTTTGGGAGCGACCCTTGTGTGGATCGGAGAGATACCTAGAATTCGCGTATTCAACAAGATTTGGACTGTTAGAAGGTTCGTTCGAATAAAACAGGCCCATATCAGTTGTTCCACGAAGGTAGCGCAATATATACTTTATACCATTCCAGTGTCTACATGTTAGAGCTGAGTTATACCTGGCTAATAAATTTACTGGAAATGCAATATCTGGCCTAGCACATTGGGCTAAATATAATAAAGCACCTATTGCACTAAGATATGGAACTTCTGGACCAAGTGTCATTTCATCATCTTCTTTAGGACGGAATGGATCTTTATTTGTGTCTAATGGACGAACTACCATTGGAGTGCTTAACGGGTGGGCATTATCCATATAAAATAGCTTCAAAATTTTTTCAGTGTAAGTTGATTGATGGACAAGAATAACATTGGGGTGATGCTCGATCTGCAAGCCCAGACAATATTTAGTTTTTCCAAGGTCTTTCATCCGTTAAATATTCAGCAGTTTTAATGATCTCTTGAAGAGTTCCAATTAAGTTCATGTCGTCGACATACACTGCTATGATTGCAAATCCAGAATTTGATTTCTTTATAAAAACACAACGGCATATGGGATCATTGATATAGCCTTCCTTAATCAAATATTCACTAAGACGGTTATACCACATTCGTCTGGATTGTTTCAACCCATATAGTGAACGTCTCAACTTAATGGAGTACATGTTTCGTGATTTAGTGTTTGATACTGCCAACTTGAGTCCTTCTGGGACTTTCATATAAATATTAGCGTCTAACTCCCCATACAAGTATGCAGTAACAACGTCCATAAGACGCATGTCAAGTTTTTCTGAAACTGCAAGACTTATTAAATAACGGAACGTAATTGCATCCATAACAGGAGAATATGTTTCTTTATAATCAATCCCAGGCCTTTGAGAAAAGCCTTGCGCAACGAGTCGTGCCTTATACCTTGCAATCTCATTTTTCTCATTACGCTTTCTTGTAAACACCCATTTACATCCCACAGGTTTTACACCTTGTGTTGTTTGAACCACAGGTCCGAATACACCACGTTTTTTTTAAGGAATTTAACTCAACTTGGATTGCGTCTTTCCACTTTGGCCAATCAGGCCTCCCTTTACATTCATCAACAGATCGTGATTCAATATCTTCATGACCTTTTATAATTTCAGCAGCTACTGCGAAAGAAAAAAATATCATTGATAACCTTTTCATTATGGTCCCATAATTCATCATTGCATGCAAAATTTACAGAAATTTCTGTATTAGGTATCTTTTCCTCTTCAGTGGCTTGTGTCTTTTCAATGACACTTTCATTCTCCGGATGAATTGTAGATTCAAGGTGAATCTCTTTCCCAATAATATCTCCATGAGCATTTTCATTGTGATTAGAGTATGCTTTCGATTTTCGCTTTCTAGGAGCTGAGTCCTTGGAACCAATGGATCAAACTCGCTTCAGGCATGCAGTAGATGATTCATTTGCTGCAACATTGGTTAATCCAATTGGGATATCAATCTTTGTTGGTGTATTTGCTGCAGGTATATGTGATTTTGTCACTTTTCCTGTATCAGTAAATGCATCTGGCATTTGATTAGCAATTTGTTAAAGGTGGACAATTTTTCGTACTTCATTTTCACTTTGAGTTGTACGAGGGTCAAGATGAGACATAATGGATATGTTCCAACCCAATTCCTACTGTTCTTTAGGAACGATCTTTTCTCCCCCTAACGGCGAGAAGAATGTCTCATCATAGTGACAGTCCGCAAAACGTGCTGTAAAAGTATCTCCTCTCATAGGTTCGAGATAGCGAATGATAGTTGGTGAATCAAAACCAATGTAAATTCCCAATCGACGTTGAGGACTCATTGTAGTGCGTTGTGGGGGTTCAATTGGCATATAAACTGCACAACCAAAAACCCTTAAATGTGATATATTGGATTTTCTCCCAAAGGCAAGTTGTAAATGGGAGAATTGGTGGTGGGTAACCGGCCTCAAGCGGACTAAAGATGCTCCATGTAAAATTGCATGTCCCCAAGCAGAAATTGGCAACTTTATCTTCAATAGCAAAGTGCGAGCAATAAGCTGGAGACGCTTAATAAAAGCTTATGCTAATCCATTTTGAGTATCGACATGGGGAACTGGGTGCTCAACATCAATCACAAGTGACATGCAATAGGCATCAAAAGTTTGGGAGGTAAACTCACCAGCGTTATCAAGTCGAATTGACTTTATTGGATAATCAGGGAATTGTGCTCGTAATTTAATAATCTGAGCAAGGAGCCTAGCAAAAGCAACATTACGAGTTGACAATAGGCAAACGTGTGACCATCTTGTAGATGCATCGATTAAAACCATAAAATAACGAAATGGTCCACAAGATGGGTGAATTGGCCTACAAATATCCCCTTGAATTCTCTGAAAGAAAGATGGACATTCAAAGTCAAGTTTTGACGGAGAAGGTCTGATGATCAATTTCCCCTGGGAGCAAGCTTTGCAAGACTGGTCAATGGACAAAGTACTATGGTAAGGTTTTAAAGAATGTTCATTTGAATTTGAAATAATCCTACTCATTATTGTGGATCTAGGATGCCCAAGATGATCATGACAAAGCATGAATGTCGTTGGGTCAATGAACTTATGGTTCATGATTGCATGGACTTCAACTGCTTTGATAGTTGTATAATACAACCCAGAAGAGAAAACAGGAATTGTTTCCAATATACGCCTCTGGCTGTTGATATTGGTGGTAATGCAAAGATACTCCACATTATGATCATTTCTAGTTTCAATATGGTATCCGTTCATTTGAATGTCTTTAAAGCTGAGCAAATTTCTTATCGATCTCAAAGAGTACAAAGCATTATCAATGGAGAATTGAGTCCCATTGGGTAACAAAATTTGAGCTCTTCTACAGTTGTCAATTAGGTTTGCAGAACCTAGTATTGTAGTTACCTTCACTTTTGATAAATGTAAATTGTCAAAATATTTTTTATCTCGAAGAATTGTGTGCGTAGTTGCACTATCCGCAAGACAAATATTTTCGTCATTTCTCCCAAGACGAGAGGATCCATGATTGTTTTCCATGCCTTCGAATTTATAAGAAAATATATATGTATTAAAATGTTATTCGAAGAAAAATAAATAAATAAGTAAATAAAAAATTCAAATGAAGTCTTTTATTCGATTTTATTCAATGAAAAAGATCCAAACTAACATGTGAAAAGGAAAAAGAAAAAAAACAGGATTTAAACTTAGCTTAAACAACATAAAGTGAAGATAAAAAAAATTACAACAAAATTAATTGCGGAGCATCCCATCACTAATCATAGGATCAAAAGATTTGTCATTAGTATCAACAAAGAAGTTTGAAACATCAAGGTGAATTGCATCCACTGGTTCTAACTCTGTTGGATCAGCATCCATCCAATATGTCTCAACCTTTTTTCCTTTGCCCTTGATTGAGGCTTGATAAAGATCAACCAAATATTTTGGCGTGCGGCATACACGTGCCCAATGCCCATTTGTACCACACTTATGGCATGCTTCCTCAATCACCATGTCAGCTGAAGGTTGGGAGCCATTTGCCTTGTCTTGTTTGTTCCACTTCTGATGGTTATGAGATGCTTGGGTATTTCTTGGACCCAAGCAGTGGCTATTACTATTTTGGTCTTGACCATTATGGGTACCCCTACCACGACCACGTCCTCGACGACAGTCGCCATGTGATGAGGTAACATATGCCTCATGAGATGGTGCCAAGGCAGCATTCACTTCATGGAATGGTGCAGATCCAGTTGGACGGG